AATGCAAAAACTTTAAAGTTCAATATCTCAAAACTGCTCAGAACGCAGATAGAACCTTATAATTCCAAGGGAACGATTTGTTTTAAATGTGAATTGTTTTATTTAAAAGTAGAAATTTAAAGCGTTCTTTAGACGTATGTTTCATGTTTGTGTGATAAGTATTAGCAGAGTTTCAGTTCATTTTCCAGACGTGTTTCAGAAAGATTTTTGCGGAGACAGAGTGAGCTGAAAGCGCACCGTTTATTTTATTTATTTTAAAAAAAAACACAAGGTTTTGATGTTAATGTGAGTGTACACAAAAAAAGAAGACCCTCTATAGTTTATAATCATGTATTGATTTTATTTATATGACCATAAATGACGGAGTATTTTAAGTCTATGTTGCTGCTATGTGAAAAAAAAACAGCAAAACGCGCCGGCGCGTTTGCCGTCCCCAGAGGGTTAATGAAAGGCCTAACTGGGTCTGCTCAAAGGCCTAGGACCACAACTTCAATTAGAAGGGGTCCCTTCTAGGAAATGTGGCTAGGGAACCCGAAGGAACCCCAGCCAGTCACTATTCAGGGACGTACCGCCCGAAATGCCACCAGGACGGCCTGACCTGGTGTCACTTACATAGACATTTCAGTCTGGCCACTTCCTGTCTGTCTGAAGACAGAGCCTCTGGACACTTGCCTTTAGGTAAGGCATCCAACCCGAGGGACTGCGGAGCTGGCAGTGAACCACTCGGCCCGGATATCAGAGACGGTGTATCCCAGAGAGCATGACTCACTATAGTGCTTACAACCCTTGCTAGCGAGGGGAGTTTACTCTGCTCGATCCACGGATCTACCCAGTGATTATGTTTCAAAGCACTGAGGAGGCCTGAGAAGGCCCAGGAACTGATCTAACTGGGAGGCCGCACGAGAGGCCTACGACCGTCTGACCAGACTCAGTAGTCCGTGCTCATAGTGACCCTCAGTGAGGGGACCACATGGTCCGCCTGGTAGGCAAACCAGGCTGTAGGCAGGAAAAAGAGGTTCCGGGACGGAACCAGTAGCAGAGAATGAACACTTTAGTCGAGCCAGGGCGCAAGCTCGCCTTCAGCAGCTGCCTGTTAAGGCCAGCTAAACTGATAGCAAGCAGCCACTAGCTTCCTTACCATATGTGGAAAACTAGTCTTCAGGGAGGCCTGGTGAGGCTTACTACCTGATAACCACATTAAGTGGGAGCTCACTTTCAGGGAGGCCTGGTGAGGTCTACTACCTGACAGCCACAATATATTTTGGATCTCACCTTCAGGGAGGCCTGGTTAGGCCTACTACCTGATAGCAATTTAAACAACTGGATGTTATGAGCCCTGAATCCAGGTGACAGTCCCAGGGCGGCCTGATAAGGCCAGCTAGTCCTGGGGCCCAGTCTCGGAGCGGCTTGTTTAACCCAGCCTCCTAAAAGTCTTCTCAAGAAAAAGACTAACTACCACAGACCAGAGGTGTCAGGGACTGAGCTACATGGTGGCCTGAAGGCCAACCGCTGCTGGGGACTCGCCTATCAGGGAGGCCTGGTCGGGCCTACTAGCTGATAGCAAGTCTATTCTGCTACAACATACACTGTTGGGAACCATATTATTTTAACATATTATTGGGCCCACCCACAGGAGGCCTAATAAGGCTAGCTACCTGGTCGCGGCCATAATGTATGTCCCACAATGTTGGGACCCACCTCCGAGGAGCCCTGTTAAGGCCTACTACCCATCAGTGAGTCTACTACCTGAACTACTAAGGCCAACCACCTGAGGTAAGCTGGCCTAAAGAGCCCTCTTGGGGGCTGCCCGGTCAAGGAGGCCTGCTGAGGCCTACTACCTAACCACGCAGCCTTCATTGGCAGAAAAGCTGTGGTCTGTTTAACAGCGCCTACAGCATCCTGGTACCTAATCACATTGCCAAAGGCAGTGTACTCAGCAACAAAGCAAAACCCTTAAAGCAGGGGAGTACAACATACGCCACTCTGCCTAGTGGAGGCCCCAGATTGAGGGGCCTACCATCTATATGCATGGGAGTCAGCTCAGTGCTCTGGCTACAAGGGAGCGTAATTAAAAAAACAGAATAAAATGAAGTTTAGAACTCTCCGCTCAGCCCGAGCCATCGTGGTGTGAGGTAGATTAATACAGAGCTGAAAATGGAGTACTCAGAACTACCCCGAGTCAACGGGGGAGTAACACCATCTGCCCCTGATAATTCTAACAGGGTGCGGGCCTGCCAGTGGCTCTAGAGGTTACAGGGATTCCCTGCGCCCAGCCTAGGGGAGTGGAGCTTGGTTGCAAGCCAACCGCCTTCAACCCATCGCTTGAGCTGTAGCTCAGCGAGCTGAGTGGAGCCAACTCTGTAGGCACAAGTTCCATATACTAGCTCTGTACGGCAGGGTCTGGCAAACGATCTCTTCGCAGAGCGAAAGATGGCCTAACCCTGCCTGAAAGACCCATGGGGTCGACTACCAACCTGCATTACCCTTAGCACCCCTGAATGCAGAGAAGGGGGCGGGCCTTGGCCGAACGACTCCCTAATATGGGAGGAGGCTATAATCTAGGGAGGAAGGAAGCCAAACTCACATAGTGAATGGCCAGAGGCAGAAATGCTTCAGCAGAATGCCTCCACTATCCCTAGCGTAGCCTAGGCCAGCTACAGAGGCAGCCCTGGTGAGGGCCAGCCTATAAGCATAGATCTACCTGAGGGCTCAGAGGAGCCACAGCCTTACGAAGAAAGGAGGGGCTTTTTTGAGGGGCTGCAGAACCGCTTAGCCTACTGAAAACCCAAACAGAGCTCAGGGGGGCGATGTACTCAGGATAAAAAATGTTAGATGGACCGTGGACCGGACATAAGATCTATCTGAAGCACCAGCGTCAGTCTATACTCCAAAACAAAACCTTTTGAGAGAGACCAACTACTCTACCCTGAGGTGGCTAATAGCCCGAGGGCTAACACCGGAAGCATATACACAGTTTACAGCTAGAATGAGCGGTGGCACACCCCGCATTATCTTACACATAAAACAACAAGGGAAGCCATCACATACTCACAGAAGAAGCCCAAACAACTGGTGCTTCTCAATCGTTCTAGCCACCTAACATGGGGACTTCAGGGCCCTAATACAAAACTTTGTACCTTACCTTATGACATTGACATTCACATGACCCCCTAACTCTATACAGGGAACGAGGTCTGTAGAGAGATACATTTTAGTGTTAGTTGCACACAAAAATGACTCTTAAAGAAGACCACTCAGCTCACCTGCGCCATGCGATCTTGAGCACGGGTCTGCACACTTCTGAAAGCATTTCATAATTACCTGATTTTCAAAGCGGTTACAAACAAAACAGTCCCTGAAGACGAAAAGGATATTGTCATGTTTGCAAGGCGCCCTTTTATACTTCCAGGTCGCATGTTAATCATTCACATTAATGATTCACGGGCTGTCTCCAGTCAATGTGATTGCCGTGATTTGATTGTGATTTCAGACACCTGTCACGCCTGAGGCGTTCCCCAAAGCGACATTCGACGCAGTGCGAGTTCACATTCGAAAGGGAACTAATACCATGCTTCCTAATGACATCTCCCAAGGGTAGCATGTACAGAGTAAACAGCAATGATCCTAGTACTGAGCCTTGTGGTACTCCATACTGAACTTGTGATCGATATGACATCTCTTCGTTTACTACTACAAACTGATAACGGTCAGATAATTATGATTTGAACCATGCCAATGCAATTCCACTAATGCCAACATAATTTTCGAGTTTATTCAAAAGAATGTTGTAGTCGATATGTAAAATGCAGCACTAAGATCGAGTAAAACTAGTAGAGAGATACAACCACGATAGAATGATAAGAAATGGCGTTCTAATGCCACTAAAATGGACATTGCCAGGCCAAAAGACCATGCCGTGATTTTAGTTGCTCTGAGAGCAAAATCAGTTGCCGAACGCAGTTCCTGCATCAGTCTCAGCTCAGCACTACCCTCATGCACCTCTTTCAGAGCTTTTGCCTGATGGACCTGCAGGATGGCCATGGCATGCTGGGCAGAGGTGGCATGTCCAGCGGCAGTGTAACCCAGGCCCTGGACGAGAGCTTAGGACGATTCCAGGTGGTGGCGCTTAAAATTAAAGTGTGCATCCTGTGACACAACATCGAAGTCAACGTACAAGAGGAGTGGGAGGTCAGTGGGGATTCACTCTTGTGTCGCCCTGAGCGCTAGCCGCAGTGCGGGTAGTGGCTGAGGTTTCTTCCTCTCTTGTCAGGAAAGAAAAGCGACCACAACTTTGCCATGGTTATGTTCTCGCAGTGAGAACATGAGCCATCCACGAAAGTTTTCTGAGTGTGTGCGCAGCATCCGTATGAGAACGACAGATATCAACCGCACCAGAAATACACAAACGGCAAGGCATCTTTAAAAAGACGCTCATCGTTTGTGCAAACTCTTTTAGGGAAACTGTTCTTTTAGCTGAAGCACCCAGGGGAAACTCTCATCACTTTTCTGTGCTCGCTCTTTTAGGAGAGAGACCACTGTAACTTTTTCCAGTTAGAACAGCTCTTTTAGAGGTGAAGATTGGAATGAGCTTGTGTATTGGAGACACTTCGCTTGGGTCCGAAAAACAAATCTGACTGGAGTGTTTGGACGCCGCTCATTCATACCTGTATAAAATGGAGTGGTATGCAAATTCCAATTACCAATTCTCAGTGGCCTTTTCTGAATTCTCAGAGGTGATTGGGTCTCCCAAGTCTGACCCCTAGTGTCATCATTCGATAGTTTAAAGTTGTGGATATAAAACTGACATATAGAGCTGTGCTTGAGGGGATTCCATTCTCAAGGCCTGGATCATGTCCCAGTTCTTTTCCTTCTCCTGTCAAGTTTTCCACTATTCTTATAATTTAAAAAAAGGCCAATAATTAAAAAAGAAAGAATAGCCCCTCGGAGTCTTGCCTTACTACTTTTCCATGATGTTTTTCTATAACTTTTTGTCTTTGTAGATGCCCTGCTTGCTGATCTGGAAAATTCAGCCTTTCCTCTGGGTCACTATCCTGTCCTACTGACCTCTGACCCTCCAGTGAACTCTGATCCCCCATCCAGTGCTCAGGATCCTGCCCAGAACCGGCCACTCCCTCCAGCATACACCCCGCAACAAGTATGCCATAAGCACCATTTTTAAAAACAAATATACATCTGATGTAATGTTTCTAAGCAATATATAGAGTCAAACGATTTCTATTCATCTGTTTCATAGACTGTTTCTGCTGCGATGAAGTCGAATGGCTCTCAAAACGCAGACAAACTTTACAGGTATTTTAGCTCCCAAGAACGTAATGTCCTGAATAATACATTGATTTTCACACATGGTACATGGTTCAAATAAAGACCGAAGTGAGTTTACATGATCTGACACTTCATATGCCCTATGCACATACATTCTATTCTCAACATAAGTTCCCTTTTCGGTAACACTATAATAACTGCATGGTATGAATCATTAGTTAAGCATTGGTAAATAGTTAATTCATCATCTATAAAGCATTGGCCCTACATTAATAGACATTAGTAAGCAGTTTATAAATTCAGCTATAAATGCTTTATTCTTGATTTACAAGCATGTCTATAATGTGTTTAATAATTGTATTTTCATACTTTATTAATGATCAATTTATCATTTCTAAATTAAGTATTACATTATTTGCAAACCAGTTATTTAAACCCTTTGGCGCGTACGATCACACCGGTGTGATCAGTCTTGGCTGGTCTCTGGAGCGTACGATCACACCGGTGTGATTAGAACGGTCAGTGCATCACGTGATCAACTGCTAAATTCAAACTTGCTTTCGCGCGTTGGCTGGCGCTGAGCCAGAGACGGACGCACTCAGTGCTGTCATATATCACAACTATTGAGTATTTTAAACCACATAATGTTTATTTTAGGTTTCAGACATTTAAATACACATAAGTACTAGCAAAACAGTGATTTTGAATTAGTAAAATAGACACTGATGTCTATGGAAACGGCAACAATAATCATTTCCATTATAATAAGACGAAACGTTTTATTCATATCAGATACACATTGTGGAAGTAGCTTTACATTTGACCCTATTCTTCTCCCAGTTCACCGGCCACTTACTTTCATGTATTTCGTGAGAAACAACAGATCCGATTCTCTGAACTGTGAAACAAACTAACATGGCGCCGCCCATCGCGCATACAGCTCAACTAACGCAATCGTTATAAAGATGTTTAAACAACAAAACACATCCACTTGCACATATTTGACAATCGGAATATCAGTGTTTCATGCTGTAGCTAATACATTTGTGAATATTTTGAATAGAAAAGGAAAAAAGACATAAAAGCAGATCATCACTCATTCAGCTCTGTGTTGTGATTGCGCTGTGTCACGTGACAAGAAATGACGCGTCACCATGGAAACATTAAAGTGACAAGTTCTAAATAACGGTCGCCTTGAAAAACTCACGCTGGGGGGTCAGTTAGAATATTTTAAACTTACGTGTGAAAGGGTTAAGAGTTTTCAATGGTTCATAAGATCATTTAGAAAGTGTAAGTAAATTATTTATTCATATAGTAATAGTTACTCAGTGTGTTAATAAATGCTTTATTAACGTATTCCTGTAATTCATGATTAATTCAAGTAGTTATAAAACATTTAGTAGTTGTCAGAGAACTATTTTTGTGAGCTCATCTAAAGTGAGGACTATTTATGCCTCGTAATGCTTTTACAAAGGAGATTTCAAGGCTCAGTTATCTTCTAAACAGAAAAAGGAAACAAACACAATACAGAGTGATACGGAACATAGAAATATTTATTTAAAAATGCAAAAAAATTAAACTGTACAACTGTACACTTGATATTAAATGAAAAACAAACCACTGCAATGTGATAGAAAATAAAAATTCTGTAAAGTGTTAATATTGCTGAATAGAAATTTACCAGTGCCAACACTGGATTCCAGGAGTGCCAAAATACAACAACACGTTTTATTTTTTTTTATTTTTATTTTTTATCTGTTTCTCTGTTCTGTTCATGTTTGAGTTTCTTTGTTGTTCTTCTAATCTGTTAATAGAGGGTATGCGTGTTACATCACCGTCGGTCAGAATGACTGTGGTCACGCCTACTGAGTGGCAAAAAGACTGAGCCGCAGCATTTCCAGCGCGAATGCCGTGAAAAACACACAAAACAAAAACGGGAAAGTGCTGTACAATTGACTATACTACAAGTACAATTACATGTGACACGAAATCTGAGGTATATGTTTACATGCACACCAGTAAGTGGATAACTCACAATTATACCACGGGCTGTTTAAATACTCGATTCTGATTGGCTGGAAGGTGTGCAGTAAAACCGTTTAATGCACAGGTAGTTCCAGTCAGTTTGATTACAGTTCGAAATTAATCCGCTACTATAAACATTGGTAACCATATTAACAGAGTTACACTTGCAAAAGAGTGAGAGAGAGACACATATGAAAACTTTTATTTAGGTAGGCTCAGAGCCATAGAGAGAAAGAGTTGCGACGCTCTTTGATGTCGCCGCGATGGCTGTCACGTGGTTCATGTAAGCCCCAATAGTTCCAAAACATACGCTGGCTGTCATGTTCTTCTATGGGACAGACAGCAGCGATTGCATTATTGACCGGTAAATATAAAATAAAACACACACCCAAGTACTTTTTCAGCTGTTACTGCATTATTGCATTTTGTTAATGTCAGTTTTGCATTTGGAGAGGCAGGGTGACAACGAAATACTGTATATTACTTAGATAAGTTTTAGGCTTTTTTTTGAGGGAAAAGACAGAGCTAGATAAGATCGAAGACGACAAAGATGAGGTCAATACGAAAAAGACAACTAAATGGGCAGTTAACACTTTCAGTGACTTTTTGCGCCAAAGACAGAACAATTGTGATTTCGAGACCTACTCTGCTTCTCTTTTAAATGAGACATTGCGGGAGTTTTATGCCTCTGTTCAGTCTACCGCTGGACGCGAATACAGTGTTGCAAGTTTGATGTGTCTCAGAGCAGGTATAAACCGTCACATTACAAAATACAACATCATAAGGGATAAAGACTTCAAGTCAAGCAATGCCGTCTTTAAATCAGTTTTAAAGCGCTACAGGAAAAATGGAAAAGACACCAGCGTTCGTCATCCGCGTATTACTGAGTCTGACTTGGAAAAAATTAGAAATGCACCTGCACTCTCCCCTTTCACATGCACCCGACTTGTAAGAAAAGTTTGGTTTGACATACAGCTAATTCATTTAAATAAATGACATGATTAGTTCAAATAAAGATTGCCTTGTCACTGTCAGTGTTGCCTGTCATTCATAAATAATTTTAATAAATCCATGAATCATTAAGTTAGCTATATGCTTAAGCAACGAGGGGACTGTAGACTTTAAAGAAGAGATGCTTACAAGTAACTCGCGCACGCATCTCTCTCTCTCTCTCTCTCTCTCTCTCTCTCTCTCTCTCTCTCTCTCTTCCTTCTCTTTCAGTTCTCTGTCTCTCTCTTTTAACCCCCTGGGGTCGGCTATCGCGCCGGCGCGATTGTCTCGCTTTTTTTCTTATCAGTGCAAAAGAGACTCAAAATACTCGGTTGATTTTGATCTTACATATAAGTGCAATACATCATTAGATCCTGTTAAGTTTCTATTTTTTTTTGTGGATACTCACAATAAAAACAAAGTGTTGTGCTTTTCACCAAAAAAAAAAAAAAAACATGATGCGAGTTCTGCGTTCTCTCTGTCAGTGAAGTCCATTCTGAAATGCGTCCTAAGACTAACTGTAACTCCGCGATTACTTGTCACACAGGCACGAGAGATTTTTCTTTATGAAGTTTGAATTCTCTTCTTTTAAATTAAGTAATTTATATAAAAAACAAATATTCTCAGTTCATGCAATCTGTATGAAAAGAGAGTGCTGTCAGTATTTTTTTCCCCAGCTCATTACACTTCATTACGCGTTAATCTGACACGCCCACGGAGGACGCGCGCTATTCAAACGCAAATGTCGAGGCAAGCCATGACAATGCCCACATCAGCCGTTCCACCGCGGCGGTAAAATGTGTGGTGTATTTGCTGCCTTTTACCGCTAAGAGGCGCTACAATCATAGACTCTGAAAAGTGTTCGTTTATTCCGGTTTATTCTCTCTAATGCGTAATCTGCTGCCGCACCGCGCTGATTCAGAGCGATTGAAAGCTGGTAGCAGAACAATTCAACAAGTGAAACGTAAAATAATTCATAATCACAATACTGAAATTAGGCTACTGAAATGTAATTGAATAAATAATGAAAACATTTCAACATAAAACATTGCAATAAAAACATTTAGGCTGCATCAATGAGGCTTTACGACTTTATCAGCGTACAGACGGTAGCTCAGTGATCAACGCAACAACACGAGCTTCGAGGAGCTTCAATCCACCCGAGATCGAATCTCAATGTAGCATAGGCCTACATGTTGTTAACCGATGTTGTCCTACAGCGTTTATATTTTCCCACCTTGATGCTTAAATAGGTAACTGTTTATATCTGTTTACTTATTTAAAGTCAAGAGTTTTGTTTGATTATCATTACAACTTAAATTTGCTACATGTAGAACCGCAGCCGCTGCACAAACGACAAAAACTGATGAAGGAAGATTGTCAGCCGATTGCATCAGAAAATGAAAATGAAGAAGCTCGTCTTTAGTCTGCTAAATTATTGTGTAATGTAAAAGAACACTAAAATTACTTAAGTTTGAAACCAAGTTCGAACATTTCAAGGTTTAAATTTTTTAATTTAAAACAGGGTTGCATCGGGTTTAGAGTTTATTTCTTTTGCGATGCAAAATAAGAAACACTTAGCTAATCTTATTCTTGCGACATTTTAAATTTGTATTGCCAAAGAAATTACAGCTAAATTAAACAATTAAAACAGTACAAAACGAAAATTGTCCAAAGAAACATAATTAAATTAAAAACATGCGTTTCTCTTTGCCTCTCTCGCGCTGGATCTCTTTTTAACAAGTTTATTTAGTCTCCCTCGCTGCGTGCGCGGGTCTCTCTCTCGAAATTAAACATTTCAGGGTAAAACACATCATACAGCTGATAATACTGTATATGTCGCTGCGTGTCAGCCATACAAATCACGAAAAAATTATTTAACCTTTAATTGTTGCTTCAAAGACACAGCATGCCTTGTTGAATTCACCTTACAATAACTTCAATTGAAATTTTGTGTGAAAAAAATTTTAAATAGGCTACAATAAATAAACTACAATATTTATAATTTAATA